GTAAAAGAGAAAAGGCAATGATGTAAAATTAAAATAATCCTTAATTCTGAATATGAAAATGGTCCTTGAACATATTTAAGTTGCTTCTCTCTCTTGTAGTCTTATATTATTCTTTTTTCATTATTTAGAGAACATTAGTTTCTGTAATCAAACCCACGTAGATATGACCTTACATATTTAATACAGTGTGTTACCCCTGTACAAATGGAAAAAAACTAACATTTCTAGACCAATATGGCTGTTAATTTCTATACAATGCAAACTCAACACAGTAAATTGGGATAACTTTTTCCAAAATCGACAGCACAGTTAAAGTTTCCAAAAATTCAAATGACATATATATATACATATGTATATTCATTTTTATTTTTGTTGTCAGGCTGTCCTTGGTTTAATCTCTGGATTATCACCCAAATCTTCCTGATATAGTTGTGCCCTAGCTTCTGTGTCTCTAACGACCCACAGACATTCTCATCTTCATAACAGAGAAAACAGCTCATCAAATCAACCACAATCCTTTATCCCAGCTGATACAATCAGCAACCCAATATGATCAAGCACAACTTGGAAACTGACCACCTGTGGTAGTCACTAGTCTATCACCCTTAAAGCATTTGAATTAAATTGAAATCAAGAAGCAGTCCAGTCTGCAGTGAACAAACTTTTCAATATAGTGTATATATTTACCATTTAATGGCTCAGGCAGAGCTAGTACACAAGACCTCTGATCTCAGTTAGCTGATGGCTGAACCCCATGACACAGACTGACCTCGGGCTGCAAGGCCCAGATTGAGTTCCCCAACCTTCTGAACGATTGAATCCACACCATTCTACTACAGGTTCCCCATGCCCTTTCTTTAAAGATGTTCAAAATTGGGAACTCAGAAAAATACCCTGATGACCACCTCTGCCTCTGCAGAGTGGGTCCAAAGACTGGCTCAATCAGGAGGTCTGAGAGTGCACGTGGGGGGGCATTGTGGGGGTTCAGGGGTGCTTGCCCGGCTACCTTCCTGGTGCTGGAGCAATAGCGGCTCCCGATAGGGGAAGGCATGGCTACCCTTCCCATGGTGCATCGGGGCCCAGGCAGCCCTCCTGGTGCTGGAGCAATGGCGGCTTCCAATGGGAGCTCTAGTTTTAGTCTTTTGAGAAATGTTCATACTGGTTTCTATAGTGGTTTTACTAGTTAACATTCCCACCAACAATCTTAAAAGATTCCCCACAAGCCTTGCCAGCATTTGTTATTTTTTTGTTTGTTCATTTGTTTGTTGTTTTGTTTTGTACTGGGATTGAACTCAGGCTGTTGTACTTGCAAGGCAGGCGGTGAAACCACTGAGCTAAATACCTGGCTGTTATTATTTGATTTCTAGATGATAGCTATTCTTTCTGGAGTAAAATAGTGTCTCACTGTTGTTTTGATTTTCATTTCTGTGAGAGCTAGTGATGTTGAACATTTTTTCATGTATTTATTAGCCATTGGTATTTCTGAGAAGGGTCTATTCACTTCAGCTGTCCTTGTTTTATTGGATATATATATATATATATATATATATTAATACATTATATGTATATGTGTGTATACATATATACATACATACATATATGTGTATATACATATATATATATTTTTTAAGGTGGTCTTGCTACATAGTCAGGCTGGCCTAGAACTGTGCAGCCCAAACTAGCCTTAAGCTCAGGGTGATCCTCCTGTCTCAGCCTCTTTAGTGCTGGAAATATAGGTGTGTGCCAACACCCCAGACTTAATTGGGTTTTTATTTTGGGTGGTCTAATTTTTTGAATTATTTATATATTCTAGTTATTAATCCTCTGTCTGAGCATCTTAGTTACTTTTCTCATTGCTGAGACAAAATACCTGATGCCCCAAGTTAAGAGGGAAGGTTTATTTGGCTCGCAGTTTATAGAGGTTTCAGTCCATAGTCAAATGGCTGCAAGGTAGGGTGGTATGGGCAACAGACATTGCAGAGGAGAAACAGCTCATGGTAGGCAGAAGCTAGCAAAGCAAGCAAGGGAAACTACAGCTCTTTCTATCTTTTATATCTTATCCAGGCAACTTAGGGCAGGTAACATTCACATCCTTAATCCTGGTGCTCTTGATCACAGTATTGCACCATGAATCAATACCAGCATCACACATTCTAGATCCATCCACCACCCAAAAGAGTCACATCTTTGACTGCACAAGGTTTTAGGGATATCTCTAGACACAAGCCATAACATTCTGCCCCTGGGCTTGCAATGACTCATGCACATCCCTTTATGCAAAAGGCATTCAGCCCATCTCTAAGTTGCCAAAGACCTAACAGTTTCAGCATTGCTGAAAAGTGCCAAGTCCAAGGCCTCCTCTAAGATTTAATGCAAAGTCTTAGCTGTGAGCCTATGTACGAATTAAAATAACATTAAACACTTCAATGACACAAGTTGGGCATTTTCATTCCCAAAGTTGCAAACAGGGAGATACAAAGAAATGGGATCAAAGCAAGACCAAAATACAGAAGGGTAAACGTTAAATTCAGTAGTTTCATGTCCAGCTTCCTCAGCAATCTGTGGCAAGATATGAATTCCAAAAGGCTTGAGTGGCTCCACTCCTATGGCACTGCCAGTGGTTGTAGCTCCCATGGCTTCTCCCTGGGGCCAGCTCTGCTCCCTCCTTGCAGTTTTCCTCAGATGATCCATGTTCCTGGCTTTTCCAACCTTCTGTGGTCTCCACTGCACCTTCAGCTTCACACTCAAAGTTTCACACATGGCCCTCTCAGGGGCACACAGCCTGGCCTCCCAGGCCTTCTTCTGAGACATGGGTGGAAGCCTTCCTGACCCCACAACTCTTGCATTCTGTACACACCTAAAAACAGCACCACGTGGATGACGCCAAGCTCTGCTGCCAGCTGGAGCAGGAACCAGGCTTCCTTCTCTCTTGGCTATAGGTGTTCAGTGCCAAGATTGCTGAACACTCTAAACCCAATCCTGGGTTCAAATTCTCTAAGCTCCCACCATTCTGGAACATGGTACTCTGGGGCTTTCTTCTCAGAGCTGTCTTTCACTTTTGCAACTCTGAGATTGCAAAGGCTAGAATCCTGCTGGTTCTTGTGATGTCCTCAGGCTATCTTTCCTATTGTCTTCTTCTGAAATATTTGGCTTCTTCTGCTAGTCTTTTCAGGTACCAATTTCTCCTTTGCTCTATCTTTGCATTGTGCAAAGAACTTTACTGGAATTTCCTGTCTGGCTAAACTTACCTTTTAAATCATTCTGCTGGCTCTTTGCTCTTTGTTGATTATCAACTAAATCCGGTTAAAAGCCCACAACAGTAGCCATGCCACAGCCTCAACGTTAGAATGCCTTGAAATTTCTTTTGCCAGATTAATTAGTTCACTGCCCTTAGTCTCAGTTCCAGGCAAAGTCTCTGGACATGAGCAAAATGCAGACAAACTTTCTGCCAGGCCATAACATGAATTGCCTGGAGTCCAATAGCCAATGCAGTTCTTTCCAGCAGAAACGTCCTGAGCCTGGTCTTTACCAGTATTATTTCTATCAGCATTCTGGTCTTCTGAAGTCTGACCAGAACCTCCAATTAAAGGTGTTCCAGCTCCACTTTTTCAGCTGATATCTCTGAACCTTTCCAAACTCTTCCTGAAAGCCAGTTCAAAAGGCTCCTGAACCACATGGTTGGGTCCAGTCACAGCAATAACCCCATTTCTCTGGTACCAAATTTCCATCTTAGTTACTTTTCTCATGTTGCTGAGACAAAATGCCCAACATCAAAAGTTAGGGGAGGTAAGGTTTCTTTGGCTTACAGTTTGTAGGTTTCAGTCCACAATCAAAGGCAGGGTGGCATGGCAGAGGAGAAACAGTTCATGGTGGGTAGAAGGCAGCAAAGCAAGGAAGGGACGACCAGAGCTCTTTCTATCCCTTATACCTTGTGCAGGTACTCACACCCTTAATCCCAGTGCACTAAATCATAGAATTGCTCCATGAATCAGTATTTGTATCACACATTCTAGATCCAGCCACCTGCAAATAAGCCCCACCTGACTGCATGAGGTTTTGGGGGGACATCTAGACACAGCTGTAACACTGAGGAATAGCTGGCAAAAATGTTTTTCCCATTCTGTAGGTTGTCTGTTTGCTCTATTGGTTGTTTTCTTTGCTATACAGAAGCATTGTAATTTGATTATGACCCACTTGTTGATTCTTGGTAGCATTTCTTGTGAGATGATGGTTCTGTTCAGAAAACCGGAAAGTTCTTGCCTATGACACCTATATCTTCAAGAATTGTACCTATTTTACCTTCTAGCAGATTGTTTCTGTTTTAATGTTTAGATCTTTAATCCATTTTGATGAACTGTAGTACGTGGTGACAGAGTTCCAGATTCAATCTTTTGCATGTAGATAGCTGATTTTCCCTGTATCATTTGTTAAAGAGGCTATGATTCCTCCACTGCATGCTTTTATTTTCTTTGTCAAAGATCAAATAGCTGAATGTGCCTGGGTTTGTTTCTATATCCTCTGTTCTGTCCCATCGATCCACATGTCTTTTTTTGTGTCATACCATGTTCTTATCATTGTAGTTTTGTCATTATGACTTCAAATCTGGGATTGTGATGCCTCGTGCTTTGCTTATGTTTTAAAACTTGACATTATAGCCAGGAATTTAGCTCAATGGTTCCACCGCCTGCCTTGCAAGCACAAGGACCTGAGTTCGATCCCCAGTACCAAATAAAAAACAAAAAAAAACCAAACAAACAAAAAACCTTGACGTTACAACTTTGTTTGGCAGAGATCAGTTTGATAGTGTGACATTTTCTTAGATTGGTAACATTTTAAAATGCATTTAAAAAATAATAAAATAAAAATATTTTTCAGGCTGGGCTTTGTGGTACACACCTATAATCCCAGCATTTGGGAGGTTGAGGCAGGAGAAAAACTGTAAGTTCAAGACCAGCCTGGGCTGCATAGTGAGACCTTGTCTCAAAAAACCAAACATAGACGCACTGCCTTTGGGCCCTCCCCCCACCCCTTGTGCCTGTCCATGGTCCCAGGGCTTCGGGGCCAGAGAAAATGCTTGCGCATAACTGGGGCCACCTGCCCCTCATGAATGGCCCTTTTAACCACAAGCAACAAAGCAACATGGCTGGAGGGGGGCAAACTTAGGCCGGGCATGGTGGCACATGCCTGTAATCCCAGCACTTGGGAGGCTGAGGCAGGAGGATCACTGCAAATTCATCGACCAGCCTGGGTTACATAGTGAGTTCCAGGTCAGTCTCAACTATATAGTGAGACCCTGTCTCAAAAAACCAAAACCAAGCCAAAACAAAATAAATATGTGTGTGTGTGTGTGTGTGTGTGTGTGTGTGTGTATTTCATATTTCTCCTAAATGTTTTCCCAAGAGAACAGCTCACTCAGAAATCATCTGGAAAACAAAACCTAAACCTCTGATTCATCTAAGTCCTGTAGAACAGAATATATTCAAGAAGGACGGGTTGCCACTGGACTAAGACAGGGTTTACTCTCAGCTGAGAAGGCTGGCTTAGAAACCTATGACTACATGCAACACAGAGGTAGTTGAGAGGACAGTCGTTCGGGGATATAGACCGGAGGATATCAAGTAGCAGGTATGTAGGGGAGATAGAGATCTAGAAATCTAATGCACAGCATGAGCACTGCAGGCAGTAAAACATACTGTACACAGAATTTATGCTAAATGAATAGGTTTTCACTGGGCTTGCTACGAAAACACAATGTGAGTATAAGAGGTGCTAGATTGGTTAATTTGTTTTATTACAGTAACTTTTTTACTATCTATATAAAACCATCATGTTGTATGCCTTAAATATACATAATAACATTTCATTTTTAAAATAAGACGCCTTGCTGGGTCCAGTGGCAAGCCTTTCATCTTGGCCACCCAGGGGGCTGAGGCATGGAATTCCAGGCCAGACAGACCACTGGGAGACCCTGTTCCAAAATGAAACTGAAAGTACTGAGCATGTAGTGCATTGTTCCAAAAGTTGCCTAGTGTGTGCCTGAAGCCCTGGGTTCAGTATTCAGTGCTAAAAAATAAATGCATTTACTATACCCATAAAATATGTATAAAATAGAGATCCCTAAAACACTAACAATCAGTTCCTTTACGGATAAGAGAGATAAAAGGGAAATATTTTAATTTACTGTGTTAGCTTTCTGCTACAAAATACCTGTCCCAATTAACTTCAAAAAGAAAAGTTTGAGCTGGATATGGTGGCACACGCCTGTGATCCCAGTACTGGGGAGGCTGAGGCAGGAGGATTGTGGAAAGTTACAGGCCAGGCTGGGCTACATGGTGAGTTCAAGGCCAGCCTGAACTACATAGCAAAAAAGAAAAAAAAAAATTGTCACAGGAATGAAATGGGGCTAAAAATAAACACTTGCCCAAGAATGGTTAACACAGATTCATGGCCCATAAATGAGGGCTGACAGAATGCGAGGGATGTTTCTGTTCGTCCCTCTACTCTTCACCTTGCCTTCTCGTCAGCAGGACAACAGAGCTTTCTACAAAGTGTGTCACACTTTGCAAAGACAAAACCGATCTGTTTTGAAAATGATGTGTCAGTCACCCTGATTAGAGGCCCTCTTTCAATTCATAAGCCAGAGTTGTTGAGGCAGAAATATTTGTTTGCGAGTCTCCTTATTATTTCTTGCGGCATCAGGACACTGCCTTGTGGGTGATCTTACAGATCCTCCTGTAAGAGGAGGGTTTTTATTGTACCCAGGGAGGGGGCCCTTCAGTGCCTTGGTTCTGCGGCAGAGCTCCTTGATTCTGCAGTGTTCTAAAAAGGTAAAGGACAGATCATCCTTTGAAACACACTTGTCTCCTTTCCCTGGGCCAGTTCCCAGTGGAAGCAGGATTCCAGAGGACAGTGACCCAAGTACTGGCAAGAAGCTTTGCCCAGGCAGGCAGCAACTGCTCTTTCCCCTGCTCCACCCAGAACTGCAGCATTCCAGGTCCTTGGCTTCCGCCTGCGCCTGCCCAGCCTCAGCCATTCTCCGTTTCCGCCTCCCCAGGGTGCCTCCCATCTCCCAGGGCCAGTCCTCACCATGGCACATACACCTCTCACGTGTCACTCACTATGTGCAGGAAACTGCCTTGTGCTTGCTTCTAGCTTCCCTCAAAATGATCCTGAAATCTGTCTTTTTCTTCTGAGTACATAATTTGGCGTCAGAGATAGCCCAGAAAAGGGATTTTTTAGACTTTCTCCCCTTGGAGCCTGATTAAACACACAGGTGAAGGGGGCCCTGGCCAACATCTGAGTTCAAGCCACTAGCCTCATGCATCTGTCAAAAACACAGGGCCACAGAAGGCTCCAAAGCTTGGAAGTCGATGTCATATTATTTGATCTGGTCAAGGAAAAATAAACAGTTGCATTAGCAACCTTGACTTACACCTGTTCCTGTTTTTTTAAACTCCTCTGACCCATATTTGTATCTTTCTTCCTGCTTATTCAAATTCTCATGGTCCAAGTGTTACATATTTCAGATCATTGGAGATTAAGTTGACTCCCAAGTGTTCAATATTCAAGATTGTAGGTTTTTTGGAGGAGGAGGGTATAAACACCATCTTTTCTTGCTTGCTTGCCTGCCTGCCTATTTGCTTTCTGTCTCTCTCCCTCTCTCTCTCTCTCTCTCTCTCTCTCTCTCTCTCTCTCCTTTCCTCCCTTCCTTCCTTCCTGTTTGAGACAGGATCTCAATATGTAGCCCAGGCTGGCCTTGAACTCACAGCGATCCTCCTCCCTTAGCCTCCAGTGTGCTGGGGTTACAGACGTGTTCTACCATATCCAGCTAAACAGTGTCTTTTTTTTTCCCTCCTGAAAGTATAACCAGTTGAAAGGTACATATAGGAGGCAGCAGATGGAGATAAAAATATTGTGTCCATTGTTAAGAAAGCTGCCTGGAGAATCCAACTCTAAACCTACAGTCAGCTGGATTTACTAATATTCTCCTGCCAGGCGTCTGCAGGCTCCAGCAGAGAGAAAAATGGGAATACAAGAGGACAAAATGCAGGCTGTGAAAAAAAAAATAAATAAAATAAAAATAAAAACAAAACAAAAAAAAAAACACAGGTAGGCATGGAGGCTGAGACAGGAGGATCACTGCTAGTTCGAGGCCAGCCTGTGCTACACAGCAAGACCTTGTCTCCAACATCCCCCCCAATATATTAAAGTCTGTCCCAAAGATGCATTCAGCACAATCAGGATTGTGGGAATCTCTTTAAAACAAACAACGTTGTTTAACAAATAAATCAAGAAAGGTGTTGGGGGAAGGGAAATGGAGGAGGAATTTATAAATCAGAAAGACTAAAAGTATTTGAAATGCATGGATTTAATTTGGATCCTGATTCAAACAAGCAATTAAATAGAAAATGTGATGGGGGGTACCAGGGCTGGAACCCAGGACACCACACTTGCTAGGCAGGTGGCAGCACCACTAGCTAAATTCCCAACCCAAAAATGTGATTTTTATGAGCCATTTGGGAAGTTGTGTGTTAACTGGACAGTTAACAATGCTAAATAATCCTTGTCAATTTTTTAAAAGTGCGCAGTACATTGCGGTTATAATATTAAAGAATCCTTACCTTTAAACATTTTTACTGAGGTATTTATAGATGAAATTATAAGCTTCAAAATAATACAGAAAAAAAGTACATGATAAAAGCACAGATGAAATAAAACTGGCCATCAGTTGATAAATACTGCAGCCGAATGAGGAGCACGTGCCTTATACCATTCCATTTATTTTGTGGTCTTGTGGCTAGAACACAGAGGCACTCTACCACTGAGCTACATTCTAGTCCTTTTTATTTTTTGAAACAGGTCTCCCTGTGTTCCCCTGGCTGGCCTCCATCTTGCGATCCTCCTGTCTCAGCCTCCCAAGTACCTTTCTTCCTAATTCTGTATATTTGAATTTTTTTCTGTAATAAAAGTTTCAAAATATTAGAACCACAAAGATAGACATACAAATTATATGTCTGTGTATCTTTATTTTTCTCCCAACCTCTACTATCCAAACATGTATATCTAAATTCCTGCCTCATTTTATTTACCTCCACTTAACTCTAACAACTTCCAAATAGAAGTATTCATTTCCACCAGACTCAAAACTTCATACTTGCCCGCCTTCAGTCTTCCCTGTTCATGCGTGACACAGTCAAGTCTAGTCTACAGAAGGGCACCTTACGTGTCTTCCTCTCCCTCAACCCAGGGGCTGGGAGGGCTCTCCAGCCCATCTCAAACGTTAGAATCCATGCTCCCACCTCTCAGGACTTCTCTGGAATGCCTCATGCCCCATGGAAACCCGAATTCATCCACCAAAGAATAATCCAGCATGTCTCTGAATATTAATATAAACTTTTCTTGTAATAGAACTTGCTGCTTTCTAAGGATGTGTGCTTGGGGAAGTGATGAGGCCAAGCAGGTGCAACCACAGGCGGGAGACAGCACCCTGCCCGCGTACTCTCTGCGCCTGCTGCTCGCTTGCGGAGACTACGGTTCCCAGGGTGCCTTGCGGCGCCGGAAGGGCGCGCGGGAAGGTGCCTCGGAGGACCCGGATGTGGGCAAGATGGCGGCCTAGTGGCGAGTAATTGTCAAGGTAACCGGTTCCTTATTTTTGTGTGGAGGAGTCCCTAGAAGCCGGGCAGGACCAGTGGTTTAACCTCAGTTGTTGAGGTCTTCCCCAGTCGTTGGCTTTAGAGCGGAGCTGTTGGCATTTCCATGCTCCCGTGCCGCCGAAGGGCTGGTATGCGGTCTCTGAACTGACTGACCTTGTGGCTTCCGGGACCCTTCCGGGTTGAAGTCTTTAGGACCTGTTCCTGAGTGGTAGGTCTTTGTGCTCCCGGGAGTTTGTTGTTAATACTTTAGACCCTCTGAGGCTCCCTGTACCTTTTTCCTTGGTACTTAATTCTGTGTCAGGGAATTTACCCCTGAAATTTGCTCCCTGCGATGAAAAGTTTGATCCTGCCCTCTGGCAAAAGGGAAAGTTGAAAATTTTATACACATATAAAGTGGTGAAATTTATGTGTTCCTCCGTGAAAGTATATTATATGTCGAGGATAGGCCATGTTTATTATTTCATCTAGTCAGAAGCAATACTACTGTAAGTGATGCAATAAGATCTTGGGTGTGGTGCTGGAAGATTGTACACAGACAGTAGTTTTAGAGGGAAGATGCTTTGTGTACTACGTGTGATTGTTTCTAAAATTAATTACATGTATACTGTTACTCATTAAATAGAAAAACCCACTGGCTGCTGAGTAATTTGCACTTAGGATAAATAGTAATGAGCATAGTTGTGAATTTCTTGTCTCATCTTTTGATGTTGTTGCTCTTTGGCTTATTGTTAAATTTTGTGAAATGCATAGTTTTTAAAAGCCTTGCTTCAAGTGACTGTAGTGTTAGGTAGTAATTTATGTCTTATTCTCTTAGTGCTTAAATTTGTCTTAGCAAGGGCTGATTTTTCTTTATTTCTTAAGCAGGAGAGAAAATTGGTGTGCCTAGAAGCAGATGTTAAAGGTGGTTTCTCCCTCATCTTTTTTCATACAACCTGATATAACCTTCTTGATACGTCATGGCAGTGGCAGTAAAATGGATGATAGCAAAGAGAACTATCTTGAAGCATTTATTCCCAATCCAAAGTAAGTGAGGTTATTTTTAATGTTTCAAAAGAATCTTAAACATTTGCAGATATTATGGAATATTTAAAGTAACCTGGGGATGTAGCTTAGTGATAGAGCATTTGTCTCGTATGTACAAGGCCCTGGGTTCAATGCTTAGTACCATTAAAAAATAAATAAATAAATAAAACATTTAGTCATTGCATACGCCTTTTATTTGCAGGAGTTTTTGTAATAAGGAAAAAGGAAAAAACCTACATGTCTATAAAAAGGGGACTAGATAAATTATGCCACATTTTAACTAAATATCAACATGGAAATATCACCAAATATAAGAGGAAATAAAGCATTCAGAAAACGATCATAAATCCTTTTTGTGTGTTAAAAGATAATCTAATCATAAATACTGTAGATTGCATAAATCAAGACTAAAAGATCTGGACTAAATACTGGTTACGAATTTAGATGAAGAACTGGAAAAGGGTAGCTTTCATTTGAAACATTTATACTTAGTATATTTATACCTGTTACTTTTTTTTTTCTTTTGGTTTTTTGAGATAGGGTCTCACTGTATAGTTGAGACTGACCTGGAACTCACTGTAGCCCAGGCGGGTCTCAAACTCACAGCGATCCTCCTACCTCAGCCTCCTGAGTGCTGGGATTACAGGCATGCACTACCATGCCCGGCCTTTTTTTTTTTTTAAATAGTGGGATTGAACCCTGGTTCTTTGCACTGAGCTCTATCTACAGCCTGCTCTTCCATTCTTTCTTTCTTTCCTTCTTTCTTCCTTCTCCCTTCCCCTCCCCTATCCCCTTCCCTTTTCCTTTCTCCTTCCTTCCATTTATTTATTTATTTATTTACTTACTTACTTTATTTTGAGACAAGCTCTCTCTTAAGTCGCTGAGTTGCCCAGGCTAGACTCAAACTTGTGATCCTCCTGCCTCAGCCTTCCAGAGCGCACCACCATACCTGGCCATTTGTTACATTTTAGTACTTAAAATTTGCAAATAAAAGGTAAATTCAGTCTCATCTTCTGAAGAAAATCATTGGTTATATTTTGATGTATTTTCTTTATTTTTTTCCCCTATGTATATAACCATTTTAAAAAAAATGTAATTCTAATGAACTGTCTCATACTTTCATGAAAGTCTGTTAATATGTTTGATGGTCAAACAATGAACTCATATAAGTAAGTAAAATATAAAAAGCTTAGCAAACTATTTCACTTTTCCCTCCATAAAGACTGTTCTGTTTTTGGTTTTGGTTTTGGTTTTTTTGTTATAGTTGTTTGTTTTTTTTGAGAAAGGGTCTCACTGTGTAGTTTAGGCTGGCCTCGAACTCACAGCTTTCTGCGTGCTGCATGACAGGTGTGCACCACCACACCTTGTATGTTCTGTTTCTAAAGTAGACATGGTAAGAGAGCAATAGATTTGTTTTTTCACATTTAGCGGTGCTAAACAACATTTTTATGCATCTCTGCTTGGTTTTGATCTCTTCGTTCATGTTTCTTATTTCCTACTATTTGTAATTGAAAGTTTATTGTGTTAGGAGGAAAACTGTTTGAAAACTAGGACAAAAAAGTAATAAATATGTGATTTGGGGGCACTTGAGGTACGGAAAAACGTTTTGGCCACTAGATACTTTTCAATACAGTATTGAAAAGTTTACCTGATCATTCTCTGTAACAAGCCTTCCCTTCCATTCCTGCCCCTGTTCACCCCCTCACTCCCCACTCCTAAGGTTCTGAGCTTATATCATTTAGGCTTTTTTTTTGAGACAGTAGTTCAGGCTGGCCTGAAACTCGCAGCAGTCCTGCTGGGATCACAGGTATGTGCCACCATGCCCAGCTGTGCTTATAATATTTAACACATTCAGAATAAAGTCAGTTTAGAATTAAGTATATACAGCAGGAGATTGCTCAGAGACATTAGCTATAAACTAAGAGTTAAAACAAAATTATAGTCAGCTTTTGATTCTTTCGAAGTATTTTTGTTGATGAGAATTGGGAGAAAAGGCCCCTTGCTACTTAGCCTTGCATTCATTTTGACAGGAACCCAGCCTACAGCTGATGAGTAGCCAGGCCTAATCAGTTTCACACAAGTTGCTCGGAAAACCAACTGCAAATTATTTACCTTTTCTTACTAGATTTCTTACTACTTTTATATTATGTCTGTTTTGGTGTCCCTAGTGCTTCTTATACATGACAAGGGATAAATAAACGTTTGTTGCCCTGAAATGAATGGGTTGGGATGATTGTCAGAATATCAAGTTACCTAAGAGCTAATTGAGGCTACAGAGGAAAATTACCCACTCTTGCTCCGTCATGCTCGTAGTGACAAACACCGTGGCCCCAAATGCTGGGATCACAGGCCTGCACCACCATGCCTGGCCTAGAATTTACTTTTAACTATAACGAGCTACTTCTAAACTTTTTTCTTTGTATTGAAAAATCATACTATTTTAAAAAGCAGAAATGGACCTTTGGGGAACATTTAAAGTAATTATGACTCTTGAACTTTAAGTTTTTTAAAAAAAGGAAAATACAGTTAAAAAGGAAAAAAACTTTATGTTTTTATCACTTAACACACTTTCTAAATTATATACCTCAGAATGCCCATGTACATCCCATATTCTTTCTTGGAAAGTTTGCAATGTGCTACCTCAATTCACAAATTTAAGTCCACAATTCTGGTCACAAGCTGAATTGGATAAGAACCGAATCAAGTTCAATGTTCAGGTTCAATATTGACCTTATGGGGAAATTTGGTTCACTTCTTGTCCAGTTCAGTTTGTGAGCTGAGTCGTGCAAAGCATCAAGCTCATGAACTGAGGTACCACTGGACTTTCTTGGGTCTGTTGTGCTTGTTGTTTCCCCTGGGGGAACATTGTATTCAGCCTTTATGAACTCTGTCTCATTGCCTCGCTCCTTGGGGTACCGTGGACACTCTGCACTGGCCAGGCCTGTGCGAGTGTCACTCTCTTCCCTGTGCTGCCTGTCCGTACCAGGCAAGTCCCTTCTTGTGGTCCCTTCTGAAAGCAGGACTCAGATTTATTTGCTATTGATCCCTGGTACCTACTGGAGAACTATTTCATAGGAAACAGTACATGTTGGTTAAATGAGTAACCTAGCTTTAAATTAATGTGAGAGTATATGCTCAAATTAACTAAATCTAGCAGGGTGTGGTGGCACATGCCTGTAATCCCAGTACTTGAGAGACTGAGGCAGGAGGATTGCCACAGGTTCAAGGCCAGCATGGGCTATTTAGAGAGTTCTGGACTACATAGCAAGACTGGCTCAAAAAAAAAAAAAAAGTCAAATTAACTAAATTTATTTCATTGTCTTGGGTTTTTGCAGATGGAGCTTTATCTCATATTTGTTGTAAGTCTACGTATTCTTCTCTTCCAGATGACTATAATTGGTATGTATTAAAATTCAATAGAAAAAATAGTTTTAATTTTATCTGAAATGATTTAATTTTCTTTTGCTTATTTTTGTGGTTAGTCTTTCTGTAATTTTGTTTTTAAAATTTATTTCAGTGATCTTATTCTATCCAGTGTTTAGGATTATGAACATTTTAAATAAAAATCATTGTGTTTCAGTGAATACTTAATTTGCTATAAAAGTGACATGCTGTTAGAAATGCTATCTTTTCCTCCTGAAGCATGCTTTTGCCTTTTGGAAAAGATCATTAGTTTTTTTTTGTTTGTTTGTTTGTTTGTTTTGAGACAGGGTCTCACTGTGTAGTTGAGACTGACCTGGTACTCACTATGTAGCTCAGGCTGGTCTCAACTCACAGTGATCCTCCTGCCTCAGCCTCCCAGTGCTGGGATTACAGGTGTGCGCCACCACACCCAGCTCAAGATAATTAGTTTTTATGGTTTTCTGTTAGGGTTCATACTATTAGTTTAAGTAGTTATTTTTCTTTTGTTTGATACTGAAAAATTCTACTTATTCCAGTCACTATGCTAAAAATTAGGAAAACCATGGCAGTTAATGTGGAGAAACTACAATGAAAAGTCTTTTTTTTTTCTTTAATTTTGTATTTTGTTTTATTTTTGAGACATGGTCTTGCTATGCAGTTCAGGCTGGTCTTGAATTCACTATGTAGCCCAGGCTAGCCTCAAACTCATGGCAGTCCTTCTGCCTCAGCCTCCCAAGTGCTGGCATTATCGGCGTGTGCCACTACATCCAGCTGGTTAACATGGTTAGCTGGTTAGCCCTGGCCTTAGCTGGGTTTTTTTTGAGACAGTCTCACCATGTAGTTCAGACTAGCCTTCAACTCACTAAGTAGCCCAGGCTGGCTTTGAACTCACAGTGATTCTCCTGCCCCAGCCTCCCAAGCACTGGGATCACAGTTGTGTGCCACCACACCCAGTTGGACTAATTAACTTTTGTGGGGTCTTTTTGGTGCTAGAGATTGAACTCAGGGCCTTGCAGCTTGCGAGGCAGGTGTGGAGCCACTGAGCTAAATCCCTGGCCCCTGGACTAGGTAACTTTTTAAACTTGAAAAATTGAGTCTTGTAATTGTTTTGCATTATGTAAAACTTCATTAAAAACCAATCGATAGTTAAAAATTGTGTTCATAGGGCCGGGGATTTAGCTCAGCGGTTCTGTGGCCTGCGTTGCAAGCTCAAGGACTGGAGTTCAATCCCCGGTACCAGAAAAAAAAAAAATTGTAGTCATAGAGCCAGGGATATAGCTCAGTGGCACAGTACCTGCTTGTCAAGCATGAGGTTCTGAGTTCAATTCCTGGTACAAAAAGACAAAAAAAACAAATTGTAGTCATTGCCTAAACTGGCTCTCTGGGAGGCTGAGCAGGAGAACTGCACGTTTAAACTCACCTCAGGCAATTCAGTGAGACTGTAGCTGGGGCTGTAGCTCAGTTGATTAGCCCTAGGTTCAGTCCCTATTAGTATGAGCAAATAAACAAAAATTGGTGTTGTTAGGATGTTGAATCAATCCTTCCCTTGCTCTTTCCTTCCTTTTCCTTTTCTTCCTATCTCCCTCCCTCTCCTCCTCATTCCCTGTCTTTTTTCCTTCCTTTCCAACCCAGGAGCACTGTACCACTGAGCTAGATCCCCATCCCTTCTCACTGTTTATTTTGAGGCACAGTCTCACTAAGTTGCCTAGGCTGAGCTTACCTGGCTGTCCTCCTGCATCAGCCTCCTGAGTAAAGGATTATAGCCAAGTGCCACCATGCCGAGCCAGGTTTTCAGTGATAAAACATGGCCAGTGTACTGCCTTACCTCTGTCAGGTAGAAAATACTGTGCAGTTTAAACAAACACTCGTTATTCTGTTGTGGTAGTTGAGCTGAATGTGTTCTGTGGAATGGTCTTGGGCAGTGGTGTTGGGCCCTCTTTTGGCTTGCAAGTTGTTAACCCACATAGCCCTAGCAGTCGAGCCTCAGATAACGGCACACATGGGGCAGTGTTGGCACTTTGTGATAAATAAGTGAATTTTGGGTTGCTTTTTGGGCACGTAGAGTCTAAAAGGTTTGTCATCACTAGTTTTCGGGTTTTTCCATTCACTAGTTTTCGGGTTTTTCCATTCCAGTAATTAGCAGATTCTTTTTAGCAGTTTGTGATGAATTAATTTTAGCTCTAAGAATAGTCACTGTGCCTTGGATGTAGTATAACTCTATGTCTAAAACATTCTTTTTTAGCAAAGTAGAACTTGCTTTGACATCTGATGGCAGGACAATAGTATGCTACCACCCTTCTGTGGACGTTCCATATGAACACACAAGAGTATGTATGAAAAAAATTGTTAATTTGCTGTTAGAAATGTCAATACTATACTTCCTTATAGTATATAAAGAGAATTATTTCTTTGCTTATCTCTTGTTTGGTGTTTTCATTTTACTGTTTTGATTCCTTTTTTTTTTTTTTTTTTTTTTTTTTTTTTTCTTTTTTTTTTTTTTTTTTTTTTGTATTTCAATAATTTTATTGAAAGGTATATCGCTTAGTACCAAACATAATCATAGTAGGTTAGGTTTCTTTTCTTTTCTTTTGACACAAGCTTGTGATAAGTGTGGTTCAGGCCAGCCTTAAACTCACCATGAAGCCAGGGCTGACCTTGAACTTGTGATCCTCCTGCCTCAGCCTTGGGAGTGCTGGGATTACAGGTGTGTGCCAATATGCCCCGCTCTGATTTGCTTTTTGAGGAGCAAACAAATAATAATGTATTTAGTGAGACCTATTTTTACAAATCACTAGGGCCAGCGTGCTTGTTGATTTTAATAGATTATTGTCCTTTTGCTAGTTTTTATTCAGTTTGTTTGCTTCATTTCTGGGGTTGCTGGGGATCGAGCCCAGGACCTCATACCTGCTAAGTGAGTGTCCTTCTACTGAGCTCTGTGCCCACTCTTTACTCTGTCTTCAGCACTTTCCTCCTGCTGCGTGTCCTGCTCACGTGTCATAGGCACTAATCCAGGGCCTCTTTTGTTTCATTTCTTTGGGTAAAATGTACAAAAATAGGCCTGATTCACTGGCCTTTGTGCTGTCAACCCTCCAGCTCACTCTGTTGTCTCCTGCTGTTACCTTGTGTGTCCGGCTACCTGCTCTGTCTCTCTTGTAGTAATTCTTCCAAGAAGCCCAAGGCCACTAGGACATATTTTTAACATCTGGACTCATCTCCATTTGGCTTTATGTCCACGCATCTGACTCTTCTGTCCTTCCCAACTCTCAAAACTTTCCCACTTAAAAAAACAACAAAACAAATGAGAACCAAGACCCATCATGTAAAGGTACAAGATCCCAATGATGAATGTAACTGTACTGTGTACCTAAAATGTACCAATAAACTCAATAAGGAAAATAAAAAACAACAAAAGTTTCTCACTATGATTGTAGAACTTACTGTCATTGACAGATTCTCTCATAACCCTGACCTTTCCAGAATGTCTCCTTCACTCCCGACTCTGATGGAGATCTGACTGTGCTGGGGACACTGCTTCCCCTGCAATCTTTCCAGTCATTGCTGTGTTCTGTCCCATTTCTTTTACCACTGGACTTTGTAGTTCTTCAAGGTCATATCCAGATTATTTCTCCCTCATCTTACAGTCTCCAGCTTTGGAACTTGTGTTGTCAAACCATATCATCCACTCTTTTTTTTCCTGTCATTTCTGCTCCATCCTTCCCACTCTTCCTTGAAGGGTAAGACTTTACTACCCTACCGTGCTCTCCAACAGTGTTGAATCTAAACATCCTGCAAGGAAAAAGATCCTCTTCTTCCTTCTGCCAGATGTGTGTTTTATTAAAGTACTAAAATTCTAAAACTTTTTTCTAAAATTTAGGGTTTTGTATTTAAGAAAATAAAGATACTGTACCGGGGGCAAAAATAAATGATGTAGAAAAAGGAAAGATGTAAAGAAGTTAGTATGTCTTTTTAGTATTTAATTTAATGGGAATTTTAAAAGTCAAATTTAAAAATTCTTAAAAGGAAGTTCAAGATGACAGTTCTGAGTGTTGAATAAAATTGACAGTCCGTTTTATTTATTTTTCATTGTACTGAAACATTTACCTACCCTTTCTTTGAAGTTTGATCAAGGAGTACTAGAGATAAAAAAAGTTCTGAATCTGCCAGGGGCTCTGGTATGGACTTCAAAGAATCTATTAATCCCAGGATCTTTTATCTTCGCACCTGGAAACATGTAAGAGAAAAAGAGTTTGTGCCAAATTAGAGTCAAGCCTGCTTGGGGGTAGGGAGAGACAGTGGACATTTATTACACTTGAAAATAACTTCTTGATTGATTTTATTTAGGCCTTCACACTAAGCTACATCCCAAGCTCTGTTTTGTTTTATATCTTGACAGGGTCTTGCTAAATTGCCTGGGCTGACTTTAAACTTGCTGATCCTCCTTCTTCAGCCTCAAAAAGTGCTTTTGAGATTATAGGTGTGTCTACCACACCTGGCTTTTGTATTGTTTTAAACATTTGATTTTTACCAACAAGTACAAAAACCTAAGTGATAATAGGGGTAGACTCTCCAGAGGTGGAGTTTGAAATAGCAGAGCACTACAGTGAGAATAGGAGTCCCATAGTACGCTGCATGTTCAGAACGAGCCACAGGGATCCGTGAGGGAGCTGTTGTTGGGCAGATGTTCCCTGACATAATTTGTGTGACATGGCAGGGGTGTTGTGCAGGGTTGCAGTTAATGGCAGTTCACGTTATTGGGCAAAATATGCACAAGAAGCCGTCTTTCAGAACCTCCCCACTGTATTTACTGCTGGTACTTCATCTTCTGCTTCCTCTTCCTCTGCTGCTTCTTATTTGTTAGGGCTTGACGTGTGACTCCATTTTGGTTCTGACAACTCACAGCTCAAGTTCCGTGTTTTCTTAGTGTACCTTTCAGGGTATAATAGTAATTTATAAAGATACTATTATTTCACTTTATCAAGAGATGGTCTTTTAAGATTACTTTAAATATCTAAGGAGCAGTTCCTCTTTAATATAATTTATATCACTTTTTCTGTTTGTGGTTTTAATTTTTATTATTATTTATTTTGTGTGTGTGTAGTACTGGGGATCGAATTCGGGATCTTGCTCTTGCCAGGTAGATGTGGTGCCACTGAGCTATACCTCCTCATTTTTGTTTAAAAGAAATGTTAATAAGGGGCTGGGGATTTAGCTCAGAGGTGCCATGCAGGCCTGTCTCACAAGCTCAAGGTCCTGAGTTAGATCCCTGGTGGTTGGAGGGGATGTTAATAGCTACCTACGACTTACTAAACTGTACTTGGGACAGCAAAGCATACTACTGTAAATATCATTTTACTTACTCTTCAAACCCCTCTGAGGTAGATATTACTCCACTGATTTTACAGAAAGGGAAATTTAAGTTTTACTTGGCCAAGACCATGGAACTGCCATGTAGAATCAGATCACAGTGTATGTTAGCTTTTTCGTTGTTTCCTCCTTGGGCTGGGCCGTAGTGTTGTATGGAGCACTTGCATAGTGTGCACAAGGCCCTGGGCTGGATCCCAGTACCACATACACATGTGTGCATGCATGCACGCACACATGCACAAACGCACACACACACACTTCTTGTTCTCTCCTACCATAGGAGAGAGTGTTACATTACTAATAAGTAAGTGCTTCCTTATTAATGTAACTTTTTCTTCCCCCTGGTACCAGGGATCGAACTCAGGACCTTGAGCTTGCAAGGCTGGTGGCAGTGGCACTGAGCTAAATCCCAGGCTTATTAATGAATCTTATGTGTTCTTGCCTGAATTCCACTTGATCTTAGCCAAAAGGTTGAGAAACAATTGCCTACATCCCATTACTTGTTTTTCTTTTTTTTTTATGGAGTGGGTACAGGGAATCAAACCCAAGAACAACATACCACTGAGCTATGTCCCAGCCCTTTTTAGTTTTTACTTTGAGACAGTCTCACTAAGTTGCCTAGGCTGGTCTCCAACTGGTGATCCTCTTGCCTCAGCCCCCCGAATAGTTAGATTATAGGTGTGTACTACCACGAACAACTACATACTCATGTTGCTTACCCCTAGTAGAATTACTCTGTCTGTGATAGGACTGTCACTTTATTCCCTTTCTACTTCTCATTGGTCTCTGTTGCTTTGCATTTCTGAAGTACTTACTCAGTTGTGCCACCTCTGTATGCGTATGCATTGCCTTTTATTTGAGTCAGGGTCTTGTAGTAATCCTGGCCTCAAACTTAACCATGTAGCCTAGGCTTATCCTGAATTTAACTGCATCTTCCTGCCTTGGCCTCCCAAGTGCTAGGATAGGTATGTGCCACCGCACCCAGTGTATACCCAGTTTTGCCTTTTTAAGAAGTCCTCTTTTTTCATGAATATAAAGTAGATATATTATGATATTTAATATAGAGGTGAAGTGTTGTAGTTTTCAATAAGGGTTAAAAACATAAAGGAGACATCTGTATTTGAATGTTTCATATCTGGTTGTAATGCTAGGTTTTCATGGTTCTATAATGTGTATGGTTGTTTGTAAAGCAAAGTAGTCTTATAGTTGTTACATTATCAACAGGACTTTTTCATTGTGACATTATGTAACATTGAATGTTATAATTATTGTTACACACATTAATTCTGTTTACTCACATGTCTCTTTTTGGGGTAGACATCTCTGTTATGCAGTTCAGGCTGGGCTTCAGCTCACTCTGTAGCCCAGGCTGGCCTCGAACATGTGGTGACCCTCCTGCCTCAGCCTCCCGAGTGCTGGGATTACAGGTGTGCACCACGACACGTGGCACATTAATATTACTTATATTTGAAGTAGGTAACTTGGCCCTTCAGGTCAGTGAGTCCTAAAGGCTTTAGTGAGCCACTGTTGCTGATGGGAATATGTTGTATCACGTATGTATTTGGGGAGATGCAATTTTTTACTAATTAGTTCTTGCGGGGGGGCTCAAATTTACCATAAAGCATTATTTGATAGCATTTCTGTCACCCAGAATGAAACTTTTTTGTTTCTATAGAATCTAAGAGCAGTTATATTCTGTAATTCTTTTGTTTGTTTGATTTTTACATTGCTGAGCTCAAACCCAGGACCTGGCACATGTGCTAGTCAAGGGCTTTACACCCAGCCCAGTGAATCTCACCTTCAGGGTCCACAAGACAGACTGTAAACTTGTATGCCAGAGAGAAATCCTGGGCCTCATTGATACTTTGGAAAATAGAGACAGAAGTACTTTATTATTGGGGAAAAATAATTTTGAGTAAGAATTTTATTGTTAGAAAAGAAATCAAAACTTTATTGTAAGAAGAAAAACATTTCTGACTCTGCAGAATCATACAACTGTGTGACTTGTTCTGATAACTTACCTCCCCTGAAGTACTGAGTGAGTTACTGAGCAGGGGACTTGTTTTATTGTCAACTCAATCAAGTCCTGGCTAAAATATTTTTATATTTTGATATTGTTTGTTGCTGATTCTTTTGTAGCCCATCCCTCAACCAGATCCTGTCCATAATATTGAAGAAACACATGATCTAGTGCTGAAAACCAAATTAGAAGAAAAACGTGAATGCCTTGAGCAAGGACCCATGATAGAACAACTCAGCAAGATGTTCTTCACCACCAAGCATCGCTGGTACCCTCATGGACTGTAAGTCTTATTTCCCATCTTCATTGCCCACTACATACTGTAAAAGAACACAACTTTTCTTGCCTTAACAGCTTCTGAAATGGTATTGTGCGTGGGGAAATGAATCCCGTGCATGACCACATACTATGTTATGCTTTTTTCTCGTTTTTCTTCTTTTCCTTTTATTACAGTTTTCAATCCACATATATTATAGTTAAAATGAAATAGTTCATTTTTCCTTTATTTTATTTAGTAATATTATTTTGGTCTTTTGAGACAGAGTAGTCACTATGTAGTCTAGGTTGACCTTGAGCTCACTGTGTAGCTGGCCTTAACCATTTGATGATCCTCCTGCCTCAGCCTTCTAAGTGCTGGGATTACAGGCGTACACCACCATACCTGGCCTATTTCTTCTTTTAATGAGAGAATTTAAAGCTTTCAATGAATTTTGCAAGAGTTCTTGAAAATTCTTCTATTGTAGACATTTAGTATATTGTTTTTGTTCCTTCTGATAAATAATTGATTCTGTCCTCACCTGTTTATCCATTTTTTTAACGTGAAAGAATTAGAGTTCACACTGAGCATGGTGGTGCACGTCTGTAATCCCAGCACTGGGGAGGCTGAAGCAGGAGGATCACTGAGTTTGAGGCCAGCCTGGACTACATGTCAAGACCCTATCTCAAAAAAAAAAAAAATTGGGGTTCAGCAAATAACTGAGTATATTATTCTTTGTTCCTGTAGACATACGGTTATTACCCTTCGGTTTGTAAGTGCTCACATTTTATTGCATACGTTCTTTGTTTTTGTGCTTTTTCTCCTCCTGGTACTGGGGATCAAACCTAGAGGTGCTCTGCCACTGAGCTCTCTCCCCACCCCTTTTTCTTTATCTATTTAGGTACTGGGGATTGAACGAAGGGCCTTTGTGCTGAACTACACCCCTATCCCCCACCCTCTTTTTAGAGTTTTTTGAGGCAGGATCCCACTAAGTCCCTAAGTTGCACAGGCTGGGTTTGAGTTTGGAAGCCTCTTGTCTCAGCCTTTAAGTAGCTGGAATTACAGGGATGTGCTACTGTTTTTACCCTCTGTCAGAATTTGTTTTTGTGTTTTGATTTGTGTGTGTGTGGTGATAGGAATTGAACTGAAAACCTCACACTGCTTTCATACCTGTCTTCTTGGTTTTTGCTGTTTGTCTGAACAAATTTTGCTCTTACTTGTATAACCCCACAGCTATCACTGGGCTGGCACATGTATAGCAGGATACATTAATAGTAGTAATGAATTTGTCTAAGTGCTGAGTGATCAAAAACACAAAACCTGTTTGTAAGCTGCTTACAGTCAAGGAGTGAAGATAGTAAACAATTAAGATCAGCTGGGTGTGGTGGTGCATGCCTGTATCCCAGTACTTGGGAGGCTGAGACAGGAGGATTGCCATGAGTTCAAGGCCAGCCTGAGCTACATTGAGAGACCCTCTCAAAAAAAGAAAGAAAAATCAAATGTGACTGACACTTGAACAGTGATTCAGAGATAGTTATAGTGAATGGGAAAAAGCTCTGCGGGCAGAAGGAATCGCATGTGAGATGAAGTGTTTCTAGGAAGCCTATGTATAGTTCAGATTAGGTGAAACCTAGAATATGAGGTGGGATGTAGGAAGGGTACCATGAAGCATTTTGTGCTGAGGAGTTTTTAGAAGTCAATTGACACTTATGCATTAGAAAATTATTAAGGAAGCTCTATGTTTGGGACAAGGGAATATAAGGAAAAATTGGGGTCGGGGAAACTTATAATAATCCACTGAAAAATTTTGAAGAGCCAGGTGTGGTGGCGCACCCCTGTAATCTCAGCTCTCAAGAGGCTGAGTCAGGAGGAGCACCGTGAGTTCAAGGCTGGCCTGAACTGAATAGTGAAACCCTGTCTCAAAAAAATGTTGTAGAGCTAAAATGGACCACCTCTGGGAATAAAAAGGGGGAAAATGAAAAGAGGATTGGTGCTGGGCTGGGGATTTAGCTCAGTGGTTCTGCCGCCTGCCTCGCAAGCAAAAGGACACAAGTTTGATCCCCAGTACCAAAAGCAAAAAGGGGATTGGTGCTTAAGAATTTAATTAAGCATTAGTAGGAATGCAGTAAGGAGAGGGGGGAAGAGATAGAAGATAAAGGGAATGGGGAAGATGATGTTTCCAGAACCTCTGCAGTGGGTCCTGGCCTCCTGTGAACCATAACAGCACAAGGCTAAAGAATAAAGACAGAAAACAAGACTTAGAGAAAAGCTGGGTCTTGGAACCTGATCAGTGCTGCTCTGGGCAACAAAGACAAAGGCCCCCAAGCATACCCAGTGTTGATTGAATACAACCATGGGAAGGAATAGAGAGCCAGGTATGCTTTGAAGGCGTCTATTGAAATACTGCCAAACGCCTGGCATGATGGCACCAGGTAGGGCACTGCTTATCTTGTTTGGGTAGCACAAATAGGTACTGGGGATGGGTGCAGTTAGCCTGCAACCCATCAAGTCAGTGGAACGCTGTAATTCAGGGGAATGGATGTAGTCATACTAACCTCAGCTGCACATAACTCAGCAGACCCTTGCCACTTCACAGAACACTTAGGCCTCAGTGACAGCCATTAGCAAAGGAGCAATACTGGGCCAACTCTGCCAGCTGACCTGCCCGTTTGAGTCACGCAGGGCTTCAGTCTACTCCTGATGTAAAACAGTGTAGCCGAATCACAGAAAGCAAGAAGCATTTGCCACTCGTAGCCCGCTGGTACTGGGCAGAGATGTCTGCTGCAAGACGGCCTGGGAGGATAGTGGTACCATTCGTGTGAGTGGGAAACACGTCTGGGAATGAGGAGCGAGAGCCCCTTGTTCTGTTGACTTTGGAGGGAGAACAATTTTGAAAGCAGTGGATCTGTGGATCCTGGAGCTCAGTTTAGTTTTTTAGTTCCTCTTAAGAAGTTAACTTCCTCTTTTGTCCTTAGTTATGATGGCAATTCCCCAGGGCACTACATATCATGGTGAAATCACTGAGCTTTCGCTCTGGTTACTTTGTGCATGGCATGCAGTCCGTTCTGTTACTCATTTTATTTCCCCAGTCATACTTTACTTCCTCTTTACTCCCAGTCGTTACTTGGCTTTAAATATTTCAAAATAGACTTCTTCCTAAAGTTTCGGATTCATTATAATGAAACCGTCCTTTTCCTGTCTAAAAAAGCCCCTCTATTACCACTGTCTTTATTAAAGGTGATATTTCTGTATAGGTTTCCCAAGAAAAAAATCTGTGGTATATTTGGCCAAACATGGTCTTTCAGTTCCTGCTTTTATTTTTTAAATCTCTTTCTTTGATTTTTCTGTGTTACTTAGTACACCTTTCGTTTATGTACGCTGTCTGGGTTTTTAAATATCATTGTAATTATAAGTTAGGGTGTGTGAAAAAAAATGAGCAAGTCATTCCATAGCTTTTTCTCTTAAAGTGTTTTTGTATTCTCAGATCTCTTTCCATAAGTCATATCATCTGTCATGTTTAATTTTTATTTTTGCAACTTGACCTAGATACTTAAGTTCAGTGCTCATCTGGTACTTCTGTATGGCATTCAGTACCGTGTCCTTCCTGTGTCCTGTATTGCTGTAGTCCTCCGTAAACACCGTCCGCCCAGGTTGTCTGCAGGTGTCACCTGAAGGGACAAGGCTGAAGCTCAGGCAGCTGCGTGGGGTGACACACGCCTGTGATCCCAACAGCACTGAGGCAGGAGGATTGCAGAGAGCTGAGGCCAGCCTGAACTACACAGGCAGAGCCTGTCTAGGACTAAAGACAAGACTAAGACTATAGATCAGCGACCAACATTAGTGGTCTCATCCAGACGCCCCTGCTACTATTGGATCAATATTAGCCAAGCAGCTACACTTACAGTCTTTTTTTTCTTTTTTACCTACGGAGAGCCAACTCAGGACTGAGCATTTGCGAGGCAAGTGCAGTGCCACTGAGCTCAATCCCTGGCCTGCTATACTTACAATCTTAATGGTTGATTGTAGCTTTTGACCCATATTGCACCTGCCTCATGATTTTGCTCCATAAAACTCTTAACTCCTTTTAATTATTTCCTTGGGGCCTCCAAGATGATATAGGGGAAATAAATGTGTAACTTTCAATCTGCTAGATGTCAGATGCACAGAATTCATGTTCCCTAAAGTTGAAGAATTAATTCTAAGGAACAATGGAAGTTTTTTTGTGTGTGTGTGCCTGGAATTGAACTCAAAGTCTTGTACTTGCCAGGCAGATACTGCACCGCTGAACTATATTCCCGGCCAGGACAACGGAAGTTAAGAGTAGGGAATTTTATTTATTTATTTTTGGTACTGGGGATTGAACTCAGGTCCTTGTGCTTGTGAGGCAGGCAGTGGAACCACTGAGCTAAATCCCCGGCTCTATTTATTGGGGAATAGGAATGAATAGGAATAGCTCCTGAGAAACAGGAGAGATCCAGAACAGGTTGCCAGTGAACCCACTTCTCTGAGAAAGTTTTATAGAGCAAAGTCACGAGGTGGGTACAGTGTGGGTCAAAGCTATAATCAACTGGTGAGATAACACAAATAGCCACTTTGCTTGGCTGAACTGACCCATATGACAGCACTAGCCTTGGTCAGTCACCTATAGTCTTACTGTGTTCTTTAGTCTTAGTTTTAGTGATCTTAGTAACTTAGTCTTAGTTTTAGTGGGAAAGGATGGGCCATCCCTAATGAGATAATGGTCCAATAATCTCAGACTTCCCGGTATCCCTTAGGGAAGTATGAAAATCTGGCCGCTGTGACTTTAATCTTTTTTAGCTGTGCCTCGAGCCACAGTTGTGCTGTGTTCTCATCTTTTGCACTGACTCCCTTAAGGGCCTAGCGCTGTCCAGCTGCCTGTAATATTTCTACTTAACTTAGCTTCTATTGTAAGATGACTGTCAGCTGTCTTAAAGACAAGCATGTAATCTTTAGACATTTGTATCTAACTCCCAATTTATGTTTAACATGTCCCCACTGGCTTGAAC